CAATTGCTTAAAGAGATAGAAAACTTTGTAGTTTGTAAGGTTTAGAAATGGATTATGGAGTTGAGAAGTGAAATAAGTGAAGAGTAAATGGGGAGAACTTGATTGTAAGGTAGTAATGGGAGACAAAAATGGAAGGCAATAATATTCAAGTATCATTGAACTTAATTGAAGCAGAAGGTATTGGGTTGTCGGAAAAGTCATGACGCTTTTTTGCAACATATGTCACTAGCTCATTTTTTGAAGTACTACAGTCATTCGCATCTATGTTATTGCTGTGTCATTTGACAGCTGACAGTTCTAGCTTCATTCTAAACAAAAATTGAGCGATTTGGTTGAGTTTTGGAGATTTTACAACAAGTTGAAGATGGAAGACCAAACTGTGCATTTCTGCCATATTTTACTGTTTTAATTCCATAAAGGGAAGAACGTGCGTCAAGCTTGTGAAAAGCTGCATAAAGCTTACAGTGACAATGCTCTATAAGAATGTCAGTGCCAATGATGATTCACAAAATTCTGTGCTGATGATTTTGATCTCAACAATGCTCCTCGGTCAGGGAGGCCCACCGAGGTTGATGACGGCAAAATAAAGGCACCCATCGAGTCAAACCCACGTTAGATGACACGAGAGATTGTAGAAACATTGAACATCCATCATTCAAGCGTTCATGACCACCTGAAGAAGCTGGGATATGTAAGCAAGCTCGATATTTGGGTTCCGCATGAACTCAAAGAAGTTCATTTGACGGCGTGTATAAACAGCTGCAATATGCCCATTAAACGTGAGGAAAACGATCCTTTCTGAAGCGACTGATAACTGGTGATGAGAAGTGGATTATTTACAACAATGTGGTGCGCAAATGGCCTTGGTCCCGACGTGATGATTCGCCTCAAATGACATCGAAAGCAGCCATTCATCAGAGGAAGGTTATGATGCTCTCAGTTTGGTGGGATTTTAAAGGTGTCATGTTTTTTGAGCTCCTACCAAGGAACCAAACAATTCGAATGTGGACTATTGGCAGTTGGACAGTTTGAACAAATCTATCATCCAGAAACGTCCAGAGCTTGTTAATTGTAAAGGAGTTGTGTTCCATTGTGAAAGTGCAAGACTACACACAAGTTTGATCACCTGTCAAAAATTATTGGAGCTTGGATGGGATGTGTTGCCACACCCACCATACTCGCCTGACCTTGAGCGATCAGACTTCCACTTGTCTTGCTCTCTTCAAAACTCCTTGTGTGGTATAATGTTCAATTCAGATGAGGCTGTAAATCAGCACCTTGTTCAGTTTTTTGCAAGTAAAGACAGGTCCTTCTATGAACGAGGAATTATGAAGCTCACTGAAAGATGGCAAAAGGTTATTGAACAAAACAGGCAATATATCATTGATTGATCTTTGTTCTTTATATAAATAAATGACCTTTGAAAAACATAGACAAAATACGTCATGACTTTTCTGACAATCCAATAGTATAGGTGGGGAAATATTGGGCCAGAACTGTTTATTTGTGTCCAGTTGTGGAGATTTCTGTTTCTGATAGAAACTTTCTGACAGTGAGGATTACAAATCATTTACTTCTTCTGTTTGGGGTTCCTTAATTAAAGCTTCTGGAATTGAACTTAGCCTAGAAGGTTGATGTATAAACATATGAGTGCACCTGGTATTTGTTCTGTTGTAGATCAGTACTATTCGGTCATTATTCTTGACATATATGTACTCAACTAGCTATTTAAATCTTAGAACATTGAGAGCATCCAGGGACAGATATTACAATTTCCCCTTTAAGGGTGAGAAAACTAAGTAACCAGGAGTTTTGTCAGTTGTTGAAGGAAAACTTTATAAGCTTGAACATTACTTACAAAAGAATCCAACATTTGCTGACAGAGACATCCGGTTTTCCACCAAAATCCACTGTCTCTCTCTTGCACAACAATAGAGTTAAAGTTTGGATACCTCTTCCCTATTAGAGACATTTCCCAGACTTCCATGCAGCTAGGCAGGTACTGTTTTCACCAATGAAATGTGAATGGTTGTGGTTTGTGCTCATCCTTCCCATTCCTCTTCTTAAAAGGAAATTGCTGCTCTGTAATTTATCCTCTTCTATTTCTTCTTCTTGTGGGCTGAAACCAAGATATTCCTGCCACACGTCTTCAAGCAAGTCCCCTAAAGCCTTGCTGCTCCAAAGAGTGATTTCCTGAGAGCTTATTAGTATCTTAGACGTCATCCCAGAACCACTGATTCAGAATCTGCATTTTAACAAAGTCCCGGGTGATTCGCATTAAACTTGAGAAGCACTGCTTTAAGGGAAAACAGAGGAACTTCATGGATGGAATGTTGTCCTTTCAACAATCTCATGAAGCAGAGCCATTATTCTCCCCCCACTCCTACATAACCCGATAGCAATTGAGTTTTGAGTCCTCTTTATTATAGCAGCATAGCATTCATATAATTAATTTGGTTGTCATATATAATTTGGGAATCTATATATAGATTGTTAGTGTAGCCAGTAGAAAAGCTGAGAGGCCTTGCTCCACCCCTCAACTTGGTCTGCCTGCTTATTAATGAAAATGGCTATAGCCCTTCCTTTCAGGATTTTTGTAACACAAATAAATGTGATCGAGTTTGTTTTCAGCACACCCCTCCCCACTTTGGGAATCTATATCTAGATTATTCTTAAATTATTTAAGGCTGGGCTTTTTCCCCTCCAAGAGTTTATGATAGTAGAGGGGCAAAGACACAGGAATATTAAAAGTATAGGCACTGTAAGAAAGTGTACTGAAGAGTATTTGCTGTTTTTTTTTTATCCTGTTTAAAATAATGCTCCTCAAAAGATGTCCATGTTCTGATCTCTTAAACCTGTGAATGTTACCTTCAATGCAAAGGGTCTTAGCAGATATTATGAGTTAGGGAATTTTAGGTGAGAAGATTAGCCTGGATTAGCCAGGTGGGGCCAATGTAATCACAAGAGGCAGGCAGAGGATCTGAGTCAGAGCAGCCGCTGTGAGGACTGAAGCAGAGGTTGGAGTAGTGTCATTGGTGGAATGGGGCCACATGACAAGGACTGTCAGAAGCCTCAAGGATCTGGAAAAGGTAAGGAATGAATTATCCACAGAGCCTCCAGAAAGAGTGTAGTCTTGCTAGCACCATAAGGTTAAGACTGTCTGCTAGAACTATAAAATGATAAATTTGTGTTGTTATAGGCTACTAACTCTGTGGTAATTTGTTATAGCAGCAATGGGAAACAAAAACACAGTTCTTCATTTTGGGCAGCCTGTGCCCTGTACCCCAACGTGTCTGTGTGGAAGGCAGAGCCAGATGTTCCTTTTGTTATTATTCATCAAGTATATATTCTTGTTCAAGACATGGAATCTTCCAGGAGTGAGGTACACACAGAATTAGAAATTACTCATGGAGGAGGTGACAGGAGTGGCTAGGCTGTTCCTGTGATGTGACCTTGCCTACAGTTCCCTGCTGCCCATATCTCTTGGTTCCTATCCATTAGCTATGCCTGGTTTGATTTTCCTGTTGATTCTGTTAGCTTACCCTGTATTCTACCAATCAATTCCTTCTCCGGTTTCTGTTGTTTACAGCCAAGAGCTCTAATTCAGAGAACTATGTAGTTAATGTGTGCATATTTCAATAATCCTGGTAGGTTCTCCCTCTTATGAAGGCAGGACCTTTGTTTGATTCATCTTTGAATCCACAGCTCCTATATTGAGTATTTGTACTCAATATATATTTATTGAATAAGAGGAGCCAACAGCTACAATGTAATGATACTTTATAGAAAAGGGTAATTGTAGGAGTAAGCTTTAAGTGTATATGAAAGAGTTAGCATTAAATGGAGACTTTAAAGTTGGATACAATTTTTTGGCCAGCTGAGGAGGGGGCATTCTAAGCAATACACCGTAGATAGTTTACTTTCTGATATTTGGCCATATATATATTTTTAAAGGTTTTTATTGGGGAATTGGGGGAGGGGAACAGCGCTGGGGAATCGGGGGAAGGGGAACAGACAAGTTGCTGTTGCTTTGTTTTTCAGTCTAGTGGAGGATGTTGCTTCACTGGCCCATGTTGGTACCATCATTGTGCTCTTCCCGGTTGAGACAGATCAGTCACCGGCTTCTGGATGGCTGCTCTCGAAGGCTACTGGCCGCTCACGCTGGCTGCTGGCTACACACGATAGCCCATGGCAACCCACTGCAGAGCAGCCCCAGGTAGGGCTGCTGTTCAGGATCTTAGCTGCAGAGGGCAGTGTCACTGGCCCTCATATGTGAGATCTGAACTGGGGCCCTCTGGCATCCCAAGCCAGTTCTTAACCATCCCGCCACTTGGCCGGCCCTTGGCCATGTTTTTACAGACTTTATTAGCATGCAGGTTAAGATATTACCAATATATTCATTATTTAAAGTCAACCTTAAGCAGAAGATTCTATCCACTATTAGACACATGTAGACCAGGGCTTTGCATGTTATGTGGGGCAAGAATGCTATCATCCACAACTCTGCTGACATTTAGGAAGACCAGCTATGTAAAATTTCTGTCACCTCTTCCCTGTGCCCCATCTGTCTTAAATTCAGATCTCCAGCTCCCCCAAAGGCTAGACGTTAGTTGCACCAAAGTGGGGAGGGGTGTGCTGAAAACAAACTTGGTCACATTTATTTTTGTTACAAAAATCCTGAAAGGGAGGGCTACTTTCATTAATAAGCAGGCCGACTGAGTTGGCTGGAGCAAAGCCTCTCTTAGATTTTCCACCGGTTACGTTATAACAAGAAAAAACAAACAAACCCGGCTTCTTGTACTGAACCACTGTTTTGAGAAACAGCGAAAAGACTTTTTAAAAAAGAGGGCCACAGGAACACCAGGTTCCCACTCCACCTGCGTCCAGGCGGGGAGGAGCCAGCCTCGAGCGGCTGGTGGGCGCGGAGCGGCCGCACGCAGTGCGCAGGCGCGCACCTGCACGGGCGCAGGGGCCGTGCGCCCCACGCCCACGCGCCGCGCCAGGCGTCTGGCGCGCCCCCGCCTCTCCCCGCTTCCTTCCAGCTCTCGGGTTTCTCCACCCTCCAGGCCCCGCCTCGCCGCTGGGCGCCTCCTCCTTGTAGTCGCCCCGTGGCTCCGCGGGCAAGCTGCGTGTTGCTGCGTCATCGCCAGTGGCCGGTTTGAATGAGGTTCTTGTCGCTCTCGAGCTGCCGCCACTACCGCGCCTTCGCCTCGGCTGCTGCCACCGCTTCTTCGTGTCCCTTTCCCTTCGCCGCCCTTGCCAGGCCCAGCCTTCCTGCGCCGCCACCCCTCTCGCCCGCCATGCCGCTCTACTCTGGTGAGCTCCCTTCTCCCTTGCATCCCGCAGTCTTGCCCATCGCTAGGCCTCTGAGTGAGGCCTTGGCCCGCGGGGCGGGCGCCCGTCTCAGCACGGGGCGGGGAAGCGTGGGTGACTGCGGCATGGAATTGACCCTGTCCCCTTTCTCTCCTTGCCATTTCCGGGCCCTGCAACGTGAGAGAGCGCTGTCTCTCGTGGGTCGCCGGGTGGGTGGGGTGGGAGAAAGAGTGGAGATAGGGAAGCAGCGAGCGTCGGCCTCTGGGAGTGGTGACACTGCAGAATAGTTTCTGTAGCCGTCCTAGTGTGCCGGGAAAGGTGAGGGTGTGTTTTGGGGCATCGGGGACCAGGCTGGAGGTATAGCTGTGGAAGGCAGCGGCACGGAGGGCAGCCTGAAGAATGGGAGGGATGGAGGAATGTAAGATTAGCCTGTATCCTTCATGGGGTTTCCCTTAATTACTTACTTTCACTTACCCCTTGCCGCCTTTGGTTTAACGCCCTCTTTTGTACCAATTTCTGTTTTATCCCGAGGCAGATTGCAAACTTATTTTTTTGCTTCGTTTTCATTTCATTAAACATTGTCTTGGGTTTCTATGCCCGAAGCATAGTGGTAGCTCTGAGAGGTAGATGAATACTGATATCCTCGGGCATCATTTCCTTTTGATTGGCGTTCGACAGGTTTTTTTGTTTGTTTGTTTGTTTTTTTCATGATGGCAGTCGAAGGTATTGGCCAGGGATCTCATTTTTAATCAACCTTGGTGTTTCCTAGTCTGATTCAAAATGGCACCTAAAATGTATGTGCTGGCTCTGTTTGGCTATGGATGTGTGTGACTCGTTGGCCATTCCTGACTACCATCATTCCTTTAGTGAAGATTAAGCATTTTCAAAGAACGATAGGAAACAAAAGACTAATGTTTAATCTCGAGGTGGATTTTTGGTCTTCTAGAATCTTGAATGCTTTAATAATGATTGCTCAACTTCTTTCTATAATTATTAACAGTAGACTAATTACACAATAATTAACAGTAGAATGGTACTGGAAATATTCCATTTATGCAATATAGAATTGAGGAGCATTAATGGTGAGAAATCCCAGTGTATGCTAATACTTAACCACACAAACTCACATACAACAAAACCAACCCCTCTCTTTGTTTCCCTCAAAAAATGCCTATACTCACCAAACTGTCTATCGTAAGTTGAATTTCATCTTAAATATTTAATCAAGCCTTTTCTTCATTTCCAAAAGGAGGGAATTGAAATAGATTTCTAAGGTTTATTCCTTTGACATCTCTACATTGAGAATCTGTATTTTTGTGTTCTGCAAAAAGCCTATATTTAAGCGAGAACATTTTAAGTAGTATTTCATAAGTTTTAGTAGAAAATTAAATATACAGATTCTTATATGGTTAAGGTAAGTGCCATAAAGTTTAATGAATGCCTGTGTGCCTGGTGCAAAACTAATGTTTTTATACATGTTGCTTTGTTTTAATCTTCAACATAATCATGTGATACTGGTATAATTCTCCTTTATGGGTAAACAAAAAGTTTAAAATAACTTGCCTATGGTGATACAGCTATGTACATTTCAGTTAGGTTCCTGGTCATTATTTCTAATACTGTTTTGGTTTAGTCCTCTCTTATCTTTTGCTTGTACTATTTGTTATATGTTTCTAGCTTATCTCAGTGATTACAGTTGTGCCCCTTCAAACCCATTTTCTCTGCTGCTGCTAGAGTGCTCAAATGTTCAAACCTTTATGAAAACCTTTCAGGGATTGCACATTTTCTATAACATAAAGCCTGTGTGTTTTGCATGACTTATGTTATCTTCCTTGACTTGATCCTTGGCCAGCTTCCAGTTTCATCTGCTTCCTCTTCACTCTGGGAATTACTTATATCTCAGAACACTCTGTACTGCTTTATGTTTTTGAATGTTTTTCTTGTCTTTTCCAGGAATGCTTCTGTTCTTTCTTATTCTCTGGCTAAAACCTAATTTTTCTTTCAGACTCAAAGTTATCACTTCCTCCAGGGAATCCTTCCTTACTTATGAAGCATTCTTCTGTGCTCCTGCAGCATTTATAATATTTATATTGTATTGTTATTTTAACCTTTTTTGCCCCCTGTTTCTCCCTTATTAAAGTTCAGAGTCTCCTTAATGCTTGTTACTGGGTTTATCATTGAATGATTGCTGAATATATTAATTAATCTGATGAAAGAATTGGGATTTGGAGTCAGGGTCAGGTTTTCATATGCTGATTTTAGTAGTTGGAAATCAGGCATCTGTTAGTTGTGAAATTCCCTTTTTTAGTATAAAGTTTTTAGTGGAAACAAACTGTACGTGGTGTGATAAAAAGATATGGTGAATGTTTAAATAAAATAATTTATTATAGTAAAAGATACATTGCTATTAATCCCCTTCAAACTACTCCCCCTCGCTTTGAACACACTGTCCCATCGTTCTTGCCATTTTCTGAAGCAGTTCTGGAAGTCCTCATTCGTGAGTGTCTTTACGTCATCCTCTTCATCCTCCATCATGACAACACTTTGTGTCACACATCACTTCTGGCAATTTCTGTCAAATAAAAACATTATGGTGTGTCCTCATCCACCTTATTCACTCGATCAGGCACTGTGCGACTTCTGGCTCATCCCCAAAATCAAAATGACCATGAGAGGAAAACATTTTGAATCGATTTAGGACTTCGAGGCAGGCACGACAGTGCAACTAAAGACACTCATGAAAGAGGACTCCCAGAACTGCTTTAGAAAGTGACAAGAACGATGGGACAAGTGTGTTCAAAGCGAAGGGGAGTATTTTGAGGGGGATTAATGGCGTGTGTCTTTTACTATAATAAATTTTTAAAAATTTAAACATTCACCGTAATTTTTTTATCATATTTCGTATATCCTTGAGTTTTATTTTTACATATTTCAAAAATCAGCTGTTTTAGGAGACTGAAAACTTTCTATTGGCTGATTGAAATTTTTTATATGGTAAAGTAGTATGCAACA